CAGACTTGATTAATTGAGTTCTTTCTATTTGTGACATTAAAAATGCAGCCACACACATTCTTACAGAGGATTCAGGAATGTCACACAGCTTGCTGAAACCTACTCAGAAAGGAGAGTGATGATGTCCCAAGACCCAGGTTCGGTTTTGTTTGCTGCCAGAGATTTTTGTGTGTAATAGGATGTCCCTGGATGCGGTTTCCATGTATAAGTGGTGTTAACAAGGATTGACTGTGTCACAAGAATGCTGTTAGAGTAAACAAGTTGAAAGATTTAAAAACTCCCAGAAATCAGAATAATGTAAACTTTATACATAGAAAAGACAGACAGCTGCACTTCACGTAATTCTTCCTAATATGGGATCTCCATCTTCTTGCTGTGATCGGAAATGCCATCAGTTGTACTTTTTCATGGGAAGCAGGAGAAGGGTGTTGTTTCACAGGGAGACTTCAGGCAGTCCCAGGCTGTGGGCACAACTGTGCTACAGCCTACTGTCCTGTAACTGTCCTACATCTCTTCCGTGCACCCTGGCTGACGCTCCTCCTTCTTTATCTGTGTGGAATTGCAGCTGAAATGAAAACTGGCTGTGGCAACTTGTGTTCGCTGAACACGTGAAAAATAGAAAAATAGTGTGTTTTCCTATTTGTCGCCGCTGAGTCAGTGAATGAGAGGCAGGAGGGCTTTTGAGATGCAGCTTCTGCCAGCAGCAATGTGGGACTGCATGGAGCAGTCAGGACAGACCCCATCGGAGAAGAGGGGTGAGCAGTTTGACTAAGTTGCAGTGAATCTGTAGTGAGTTTTCAAAGGGAGGCAGGGAAAAAAGGAGGCAAGATTGGGGCAGTGTGACTGGTGATGAGCCAGTTTGTGCATAGGAGGAACCCGATTGTGGCGCTCCGCATGCACAGGGGTTTGGAGAAACATGACTAAGGAGGAAGATTTTGGCTGCTGGCGTGGTAGGGGAGTGAAGCAGGGGTGTGTTCTTCAGCTTTGCTAGAGGATTTGAATTGAGGTACAAGGCTAATGCCCTGAATGAGAGAAACTAGTAAAAGGAACAACGTCTTAAAGCTGGGCCCATCCTTGGCTGTCAGCACCATCAATAATTACTTTTCTGAATTGAATATAACTCTCCAAGGCTGCTCTCCACCCTCATCCCACTGCACAGTTTCTGCAGGAGTGCTGCTCCAGGATGCCACTCTTCTGCAACCTCATCTGGGTTGTAACCCAGATTAATTCCTGGACTGTTTATCTTAGTTTATCCTTACAGAAAAAGCTCTTCTTGATGTTTACACCAATCTATTTTTAGAATGCAGTTGTGCAAAGAGTCATTTGGCAAGGAGACTGTGAGCTTATCAGAAAGTGTTACAGGAAAAAAAATTAAAAGATAAAGATTCTATGTCTCTTTAAAAGCAAGTTACATTGTCTTGTTGATCAAATTGATAATTTAATTGACAAACTGTTGGTAATCTGTACAGGAGTGCAGGGAGTATTGGGTGCTCATGTTGTGCTGAGAACTTGAAAGGGGAAGATGTGGTATTTCACTGTCTGAAAATGTCAGTTCATAGGTTGAAGGACTATCATTTCCAAATCTGCCATGGGCAAAAGGCTGTTGAAGAGGAAGATGGGACAGATCATTTTATCCGTCTCTTTGCTCAGGAGGAGCCAGGAAATAAGTAAAGCATGTGCAGCATATGTTTTTGAGTGCTGAATGTTGAGGAGCAAGTATTTGGTGACATTGCCAGTAATGGGAAGGCAGGACAAATTGAAGACATTTTCTCATTGGACAGGTTGAAGTCAGCAGAGGAAAAATGACATACCTGGGCTTTGGGCCATCATCGTAGTATTTTTACCTAATAGTAATATGAAAAGGAATGTGAGCAAGAGTGCCCAAGCAATATAACCTCAGTGTAGTTGAGCTGCTATTGCATTCAGGAAATCAAGAACAAAATCATATCCAGTGGCACTACCTTTGCTTCCCTATTGCCTACATCACCTCAGACTGCAGATCACCAGTCCCCAACCTCCAGTGCAATTTTCTTGCCATTTCTACTAACTAATTAAGCCAGTATAATACAACAGTTCATTAACCTTGTTTTGTTTTCCCAAACGGAAATAAGTAGTTTGCTTGCTGTTTTCTTTTTCCACCCATATCTGTATATCTATATTTAGATTTCAGATTTAGAACTGAATTGTACTAATTCCTGGTGTGCTGATTCTGTTCTGGCAGAAGCTAAGGTACTTAACAGTGTCAGTGGTTGATTTTGGGAGGCCAGCTGGACAACTTGGCTGGATGCGGATCCTGCTCATGCAGAATCATCAGGTTTTAAATCATGAGAATCAGCGGAGTTACTTGACTTCAGAAATGCCTGGAGAAAAAAAAGATCAGTTCTATGAGGAGCTATTCAGGCCACATTCAGACCACAGCTAGATCAGCTACCAGAACTAGGTGCCCAAGGCCCCCACTGAGTTTTTAGAGAACAGCAAGGCTCGCTTTCTAGAGCCCACCTTAAACATACAACGAAACAAAATCCTCAAATTCAGGCAACTAAATTCAGTGCCGGAGATGGCACCGCAAGAATAGTCCAGTTATGTTGAATCATCTTGTATCACCTCACAAATACAGCATTATTACTATACACCTAAACTCTGTATTAAACCAAAGGCACTCTTCACTTAAAAAAACACATTTTGATCTGTTATACTATAGGAAATCTGGGATAACTCTGCTTAAATCAGTGGCATGGAATTGAACAGATTTATAGCCTGGCAAAATTTACTCCTAAATCTAAGTGGAACTAATCTATCCACACGGGAGTTGCTAGGATTATGCCAGGCAGCCAAATTTATAGAAATAAAGATGGGAATTGAAGCAGGAAAATATTCAGTTAACTCCTGATGCAAAGGAACTTTAAAAATGGATGTCTTGTTAAAGGAGGACTATTAATATGTTTTATACCTAAGTCTCTCTTATTTGAAAAGTTTGGGGTTTTTAAAGTCCAGTAACCCATGTCTTCACAGAACAGAATTTCCTCAGGGTGTGAATTGTCTCTCAATGTGTCTGTACAGCCCCAGGCGGACAGAGAGCCAAAGCATTAATTCAAACTTCTGAACATTATCATAATTCAGATAATAAATGGTTTGAAACAGAGTGTCACTCTTAAACTGCTTTAGTGCAGATGGTGTTTTTCTTAATTCTCAGCCCTGTAGTTAGTAAGCTGAGCTTATTAAACTGCTTGCCAATTCTGTTAAGAGCAGACGGAGTGAAACGGGATAAAGGCAATATTTCGGTGCAGCTCCCATGCATCGGCTCCCACCCCCACATGCCATTATCAACATACATTTTACAACTCCACATTTCTCAACATCAGGGGTTAGAATTATAAAGAGGTTGAGCACACTCGGCTTGAATGTCAATAATAAGGATGCTCATATGGCTTAATAAGGATAAATTGTTGCCCTTGAAACAACGTACCATTCCAGCAGTCAAAGTGAACTAAGACTAGTTCCTTGACATGTATACTAACTCTGGGTGTCTGTGTGCATGTGTGTGTGTGCACACGCTTTTGTTACGCATTTCTCTGACCGTTCCCTAGCACTATGGGTTCCTCTTGTGTGTCTTACAATAATGTATTGAATTAATTCTTTTGAGTGCTCCCCTTTTAAAAGCTCATTTCTTCCACTTCAGACTGGCCTTTTTTTTTTTTCCCTGAAGACTTTCATTACAAACTCTGTCTTTCTTAAAAGCTCCCAGTTTCCTCTTCTGAAGCCTGCTGACAAAACGTGCTAGGTGGGGTTTTCAGAAGTGCCCACTGTGAGTGGACCGTCGCTGCCTCTAAAGCCTGTGATCAAATTCTGTCCAGCTTTAGCTAGGGCAGATAGACCTCTGTGCAACAGACTTGAATTAATTCTGAGTGCTTAGGAAATACTGATCCTAATCCTATAGGAAGCAGTTATCATTTTTATAGAAGGCATGAATATTCTGATCAGAAAAAAAAAATAATAATAGTAATACATAAGCACAGCTAACATAAAGATCAGTGGATCTCCGGAGACTTCATTTTTGATGTTTTAATAAATAAAACAGGACATTTAGTAAATAAAACAGGCCAGAAGTCATCCTCTGGCCCACAGACTAGCTGGCATGTGAAAACTGTGGCCAAATGGCTACACTCCTCCTGCGTAAAAAGCAGTGGCTGCAGGCAGCTTTCCTCGTGGGACTTGTCCCAGGCATTTTCTGACAGACTGTTGGCACCAGGCCAGGCTGTGGCAGGGACCATGCTAGCAATGTAACAGTATGGGTGATTGGCCGTGCTGGACACATACCCTGGAACTTTTTACTTTATTAGTACAAATATGATGTATTTGTCCAGAATGTTCACTGACCTCCCCAGAAGTTTTGTGACTTCAGATCAATTTCCATTGCAGGGATGTCCTTCATCTACATTTCTTTTCACAGTTGGCAGGAACTGTGTAACCTATCTGGCAGACTTAGACGAATATAAGTTTGAGAAGGTGTAGAGGCTGCAGGAAGCATCCAATATTGCTGGGGCTTGCTGGTAAAATGTTGGGGTGGAAGTCTGCAGTGTTACTTTCTACTTCCCCGGATGTCTAGAAGCCTTCCATCCATGAAGTCTATACTGTCAGTAAATTTTAAATGCTAATAGCAGGACATGACAAATTCTGTGCCAATCTCAGTAAAAATGGGAGCTTCTCTGATCCACAGTATTCATTAAAGCTCTGTTTGCCCCTGTATCCCAGGAGTTAGTATAAGAAGGCCTAATATTTGCTGTGTCTTGCCACTGAGTGCAAGAATGAAGGATCCTTTTCTTGGCTGGGAGCTGGATCTATGTCAGTTCATCTCAAATGAGTAAGTGTAGCCACGCTGTGGAAGTGCAATGTCCCAAAGACACGCTGCTGTGCAGCAGTTTCTCTGGGCTGGAACCAGACACCCATGTTTTAATGTTTGCTCATGTCATTTTTAACCTTCCATTTCTTTCTCCTGGCAGATTTTTATTGGTGAGATATCCATGTATTTCATAAAGTCAACCCGAGAAACCCTAATTATTCAAGAGAAAACTATTTTGACTGGAGAGTGCTGTTACCTGAACCCACTGCTTCGAAGAATAATACGTTTTATAGGTAAGCGTCCTGAGCTTTGCAATCTTAATCCCTGTTTGCACCACAACAGAATGAAACATCCTAATAACCTAAACCACAAAATTAATTAAGCTGTGAAATCTTTTCAGGCATCTTCCACCTTAGAGGGATAGTCCCTCTCGGGATTGGCAAGGTAACATTCAAAATCTGCTGTATCATGCTGTATGGAGCTGGTTTATATCCTATTCTGCTGAGCTTAATGCTTCTTCTGGACCCTTGAAGAAAGGTTATGCCAATCAAATCCTTGTATGAATAATTCCATCATTGCTATTCTGTGTAAGCTACCCATTTTACTTACAAATTGGTCCTCACCAGCCCATCTCTTTGGCATTTTTCTTTTCAGCTCTAATTTTAACATCCATAGCTCTGCCACATAATGTTCAGCTGAGCGCAATGTAAAAAAGCCCAGAGCCCACTTCAAAATAACATTCTTATTTTTATTGTATTTGGTTTTTGTTAGAGCTTTCATTGAGTTAATCGCTGAGAAATGAATGAGTAAGTTCTGTCACTAAACCATTTGAAGGTTGCTTTATATGGTGCTTGCAAACCGCTATGCCTTTTTCACACTGTTTAGTGGAAAAAATGCCTATGAGACCTTACTGAGAGGACGGTCCCATGGTTCTTTTGGAGAGGGAAGAGGAACAGCATTGCAGCTTGTGTTTCTGCTGTGGCACTGACAGAGAATCTGGTTGTCCTCTGAAGGCTTCCCAATTCACAGCCATTTAAGGCTGCCCGCACCCCTCGGTGTTTAGAGATAAAGGAGGGCTGGTTGCTCACTTACTTCTTCTTTGTAGCAGCAGAGTACAAAGAGGGTAGCTCTGAACTGCATGTGCAAGGGGCTGTAGCTTCCCTCCTTCTTACTCGTTCATGAGGAGTCCCAAGATCATGCATGGGATGGGATGGCTTGTGTCACTGCTGGCATGGGCCAGTGGTAAATATGGCTCCCCACCGACCAAGAGGGGCTTTGCCCACAGAGCATCTCAGCACCACCCTCCCTGTATACTCTTAGAGGTAAAGCGTCCTTACACACCACATCTTACAGAGAGCTGGCTCTGAATTCACAGTCTGAGTTAAAAGAAGCAATGGGAAAAAAAGCTGAAAATATCTGTATCGCTTCTTCCCTGTCACTGCTGAATTTGTGAGCTTTATCTGGAAGAAAAATGTCTGCTGTGACCGTGGCAAGGGTTGTGTTGCTTCCATGGAGCACAGCCCTGGCTGCAGGCAGGGATACTTGCTCAGAGTGTGGAGTTGAAACTCTTATCCTCTGTTACGGTTTTCATCATCAGTAAATGTATGCTGCAAAGGAGGAAGAGCCATGGTTTTCTTTCTCCCGCTCCGCTCTGTGTGCCTCCTGCTTTATGCATGGAAGTTAGGAAGTGAAATGGTTTTTCACCTTCTGCCACACTGGGGGTGGAGATAAACCATCTGTGGTTCATTACTCAGGCCTGGCCTGTGTGCTGCTGATGAAAACAAAAGACATGGGAACGCAGTTAAAGGTAAAATACCCTTGAACTTCACATAACCTCTAGGATATATTGATGGATAGTAAACTGCCATTAAGAGAGAAGCAGGGTACCGGAGTCCACGGTTCCAGCACATTCGCATGTTGCAAAGTCCTAATCAAATACTCTTGCCTGCGGGGTCAGCACTAAAAGAGCTTAGACCATGGAGGCACTTGCTCTATGCGTTTTCTTGTAGTTAGCTTTATTCTTAAACATTCATGCTATTGTTGTTTTTCTGGTGGAAGAGAACGGGGTAGCGATGATACAGTGGACTCTGAGAGAGTAGTAGGATATGAACCCTGCTAGAGAAATCAATCTTGGCTTTGCAGCTATACTTGTTTTCCTGAGAAAAATGAAGTCAACGTTATTAGAAATGTCTTAAAGCATTTGTCCCTTCTTAAACTACACTGATTGTTTGCTTGTTTTCTTCTGAAACCTTCTCCCTGCCTCTGCAGTAAAATGAGAGAAGTAGAGTTTGTTGAAAAGTGGCTGAAATAATTTATGAAAGGAACTAAAAATAACAGCATGTTTTTCATTGACATTCCACCTGCATTTTGAAAACATGACACAGACTGAGCAGCTGTAGCCTATGCTGGATGATCAGGGAAGTTAGCTCCATACAGCTGCTTACTCCAAAAAGAGTCTACCTGGATGCTTGGCTCTGGAGAGACTAATAATTTAGGTTGCTCACACGTGGATTTCCTTCTGTGTGTCTTCTCATGCTAAACTTGAGGGCCATAAGTTACAGAGCTCATTAAGTAGGTTGCCTTCCAAGATACCCTAGCAAGCAGCCTGGCTTGTTGCAAAGAAGTTTGCTGCCAATTTAGTCTTGGTACAAATTCACTGGAATATCCATATATGATGATTTCTTTTGGCGCGTATGTGTGAGCCTTAGGTGAGTCTTAGGTGAGTACCTGCAAAAAGTAGTAATTGAACTTCTTGGAATATTGCCTTATAAGTCATTACAGTTGGTATTACTCAAAAGGATGAGAAAAATTCTTCAATGTGTCTGGGTGCTCAGGAAAAATGAACACTACTTCCTGACCCTGCAAGGCACATCATGGAGAGCTTTTGAGAGTCGCTATTCCCAAATCTTAGAAAGGCAAAGAGGCTTTTTCTCCCTCCCTGGCTCTGTAACTACAGTTGCTGGGAAGAGATGGGGTTTTAAGAACAGTAGCCTAAATGTGCTTTCCACAAAACAAGCAGAAAGTTATAGATACTTCACTGAACATTCACTTAGATTTTTTAAGGAAAGAGAAGCAAAAAGGGAAACTCCAGGCTATCTTTTGGTGATGTGAAAGATAAGCACCCTTGTCACACTATCTCTGTGGGATCTTTTGGGTTTGGTTGCTAGACTTGAGCCTTTTCTCCTCTTGCTTTTTCTTCATGTATACAGAATGAAGCACTTTTTTGCAATTTGATAGTGGAGTAAAGAATTAAGCAAAACCAAAAACCTGGAACTCTTCTGAGATGCTGGCAAAGCCCCACGTTTCTTTTCCTTGATTTTGCTTATTTTGCTTACTATGCTTTCTGCTTATTCTCTCCTTGTTATCCCCAAGCCCTCAGCAGCTGTCTGTTTCTAAGATTCTCCCCTCCTGAGTTTAGTGGGGACCTTGAATGTTGAGCTTTGTCTTAAATCCCTCCCTGGTTCTTTGTCCACAGGAAGCAGAACCAAAATTTCTTCTTGCTTCCTGGCCCAGGCATGAATTCTGCACGTTGGTAGACATTTGCTTTTGTGGTGTAGGGCTGCCTCTCAACTTGCTTCAGTGTACGTCAAGTCCTTTACTGCAGCCTAGATTGGTGAAACCTGCTATGTTCCCTGTATTTAGAAAATCAATTCCTTTATCAGTGAAAAAAAGCTGGCTTAGCTTGAAACATCAGACTTTGATGTATGTCGCAATTTGTTCCATCTTCCTCTTTATCTTTTATAGCTGCTTCCACAGACATTTATTTTGAAGATTTTCGGGTCAAACAAGTGGTGTGCAATTGCTTTGGAGCAGGTTTTTTTCTGTCTAAAATATTGGTGCTGCACTGCTGTTCTTTAGTCACATCATCTCTCCTCCCTCCTCTCCCCACCGCTCCCAGCAGTTTTATTATGAATTTCTGCTGCCAAAATTTGCCGTTTATGCGCTGGACCTTTGAGAAACCAGGGGGTAAGCGTGGTTGTTTCTTGGGCCTCTGCCTCTTCTCCCTGTCTCCCGGCTTGAGTACACACAGCCTTTTGTATTTTTATTCACCCTGTCTTGTGGTAATTTCCCGTTCAGTACTTTAACACCTTGCTATCTTGCATTTGCTTCCGTGTTCTACTTCATCATCTGTATTGCAAATAGAGGTTATAAATTATTTTAGCATTATTTGGTGAATAGTTTCAGTCAAGGATTTAGTCTGTTTATATGCAGCTGCTATCACACCCCCAGAATCATGGATTCAGACCTCCCTGACTCAGTTTGGCAGGGTGACTACAGTGTGTATTGTGTTGCATTTCATTATATTAGGTTTCTAATCCATGTGATTAAGTTGTATACCTTCAAAGCCCTGATAACATGCAAGTAGCCTCTCTCCAGTGCAGATATTTAGAAATGCAATATGTGCTTCATGAATCTGTTACCAGTGGCTTTTACTTTGGACCTGCATAATTTGCATTTAACAAATGGTGCAGATCAGCTTCTGCTGACAGCTTAATTTAAAGCATGGGGACACCTCACAGTGGGCAGCTAAATAATGAAATTAGGGCTTTATTTCAGCAAATTAAGGCTTTAGTTCAGCAAATAAAGGTTTACAAGATTTATACACACATTGAGTTTATTGTAATAGGATAGATATACCCCAGAGCTCTGATGTCAATTCCCTAGGCGACTGCAGGACATAGTTTGCCTGACCTTGTTCTTCTGTCTGCCTTGGATCTGAAGTTCACTGTGAAACAATGCACGTTCTGTTATCAACTGGCTGCCTTTCAGCAGAGCTCAGGCTGTGTTTGGGTGTGCTGCCTCTAACTTAAACTGCTGCAGCAGCTTAGGCTACTGTCGGTCTCCCTTCTTATCACTGAAGAACCTCCACAATGAGAAACAGGTCACTGTGTTGAAGACAAATCAAACCTTACTGTTCCACTTTATGCCAGGCTCTGAGCTGGCTGTTGTCTGCATGAAAACTGATAGGTGTGAAGCAGTGAGGAAGAAAGAAATCCTGTGTGTTTGTGGGGAGGAGTCTTGAGGCTCCAGAGTACTTTTGCACTGGGAACTGAATTTCTTCTTGCATGCTCAGACCACATGTCTTCCTTCTTACATCTTGAGGGAACAGTATCCAGGCAAGACACTCACAGGTGAAGCAGGCAGACACAAGAGTAGATGCCTGGAGCAGTGAGCTTTGTGGGGTCTTCACTTGTGGGAGATCAAAGCCAATCCTGGGATCAGATTATGAGTGCTCCGAAGAAGCTTGCTGTTGAGCCTGTTCCTGATGCCATAGCAACAGACAATAAATTTC